GACCTGTTCATCCTCTAAATTTGACGTACACCAGAGAAAACACGTGTACGTCAGCGTGCATGACACACAGCAATACCCCACAAGGAATGATAGAACGATCGAAAGACCAATGTAATAACAGATGCAACAACAGAAGTGACAAAAGAAACGTCCAACTAGAAATCTAACAAATCGAAATGCAATCCACCACTAAATCATAATAATCATAAGAATCTAAAAATCAACTGGGTAACGAGGGTTTGTAATTAATCATCTTATAACATGTCACTAATCCACATCTCACATAGAATCAACGTTCATATTATCGGATAATTGACTGCTCGCATATCCCCTACGTGCATCCAATACCGCTACACAAACTCGGTCAGAGGATTACACGCAATCCGTTTTTAGCCTAGTCCGAACTCAAGCTAAACTCGGGTGAATATCAAATTCACGGACCAAAGTGACTACACAAACTTCACTTTGACCCAACAAACCAACCCCAGTGCTACACAAACTCACTGGTACGAGCCTGCAAGATACATCAACAGCCACATCCGAATACATGAACAAAGACTTTCCTATCCTAACTCTTCTTGTTTTTCTAAGTCAACATAACACATGTCTCTAGGTCACACAAGGCCACTACGGTCATGACTAATAACGGTTCTCAATCACAACAATAAATAACAAATACAACTGATCATGTACAATAATATCATGACATATTAGGTAATCAAAATTAAGAGTCATAAATTTATGAACAACCAACTATGTAATTCAGAAAATAGTCTTTTTCACAAGACAATTTTTCTTAAACTATTTCTCATTATAACTAATCTAAAATAAATCATTTTCCAAAATATTTTCCTTAAAATTATTTATAATTATTCTAAAATGATTCTTTTCCAAAATAAATTCTTTTAAATCATTATAATTATCTAAAATGATTCTGTTGCCAAAAATAAATTATTTTAAAACATCATAATTATCCTAAAAATAATTCTTTTGCCAAAATAAATTCTTTTAATTCTTAATATTTATTCTAAAATAACCTTTAAAATAAATGTTAATTCAAATAATCATTTTGTAAAATAAATTCCTTTAAAATTATCATTTACCATAATTATTCTAAAAATAATCTTTTAAAATAATAAAGTAACAATCCAAAATAATCTCTTTTCCAAAATAATCTCTTTTCCAAAATAAATTATCTTAAATTATCTATTATAATAATTATTCAAAACTAACTCTTTTTCCAAATTAAATTGTTTTAAGATATTTATTATAATAATTACTTAAAACTTTCCCATTTTCCAAAATAATTGTTCTTAATTTATTTCTCATAATTAATAATTCCAAAAATCTTTAAAATATTCTTTCTTTTAAAAACATCTCAAAATATACGAGGGGTTGCGGGTTGTGGCGCGTCTTTTGAAGGAGTGGTGACAACAGTGGCTTGGTGGAGGATGAGGGCTGAGGCAGATCTGGGAGTCGGGCTGCTAGGAGGTGAGTAGGGGATCAACGAGCAGGGCTTGAGCAGAGCTCTGGAGGCGCGGCGACGAGGAGGTGCGGAGTAGATGGCTGGGCGGTGAGGTTGTTACGGGACAGAGGGCTGGGCGGTGGTTTGGTGTGGAGGAAGAATGTGCTCGAGGAGGAGAGTTGGTGCAAGGTCGGAGGCTAGAGTCGGGGGCTGAGGAGACGGCGGTCAGGGGAAGAGGGAGCTACAGGTCGGGTGGGCTTTGCAAGCGGAGGCGCGGGGGCTGTGGGGTGGCTGTCGATGGAGGCGGAGGAGGATCTGGTGCTAGCGGCTAGAGGCTTGGTCTGGTGGTGGAAAGAGGACAAGAGGGATTCGGCGACCTCGAGTAGGAGGAAGGGCAGGGGGCCGGAGAGGAGATGGGCGGACAGTGCAGCGACGGCTGCTGGGGTTGGGCGACGGAGGTTGAGGGCGTGGGCTCTAGCGGAGGATGGGGCGGTGGTTGAGGGCGGAGGACGTGGTTGAGGGGAGGATGGGCTCGGGGCGGTGACGGCGACCGGGCTAAGCTGAGGGAAGAAGCGGCGTGGTGGCGATGCGGATCTGGGGCGATGACGAGGAAGAGGCGGGTGGTTAAGCGGCTGAAGAGGTGGAGGCTGGTGAGGGGAGGACGGTTTGAGTCGGTGGCAAGGGCTTTGTCGGGGCTGAGAGGAGAGGAGGGGATGAGGAGGGGCGAATGAGGACGGGCTTTCAGACTTGGGGTGTGGCGGGCGGCGGAGAGGAGAAGGGAGGATGCGGTGGTGAGTGAGGAGAGAGGATGGTCGGGAGAGAGAGAGAGAGAGAGAGGAGAGAGAGACGAGAGAGAAGAGAGAGAAGAGAAGAGGCTGAGCTGCGTAAAAGAGAGAGAGAGGAGAGAAGACGAGAGAGAGAGAGGAAGAGAGAGAAGGAGGGTGCGGCTGTGAAAAAGAGAGAGAGAGAAAGAAAAAAATAAACATATATATATAGGAAAGGTATTAGGGTAAAGGAATATAATTAAAAAATAATTAAGAAACTAATTAGGAAAAATTAGAAATAATTAGGAAATAATTATTATAATTAATAACTATATTGATAATAACAACAACAATAATAAAACATATATTAATTTAAAAGTTTTCACCACAACAAGTTAATTCATAATTATCAAAATGATTAAATAAATATAAAATTGGATTTTTAAATCGTAGAAAATTCTAGGAAATCCAGAAAATTCAAATACTCTTTTGAAAATAATAACTTAGTATTTTAAAATACCAGAAAAATTATTTTAACTAGTATCAAAAATTCATGGTCATTACAGCCCCTCTAGACTACGACCGTTCGATTCATCTTCTTCCAAACATTTTCCTTAATGTCGTCCGGTTTCCCGTCCAACTCCAAAGTATCCTCAAAATTTCGCGCGTTGAGCACATCCAAGACTTCGCATCTCCAAAGACCAAAATTATTTGTGCTATTAAACTTCTTCACGTCTATCTTTATAGAGTGAATAATCAAACTTTGGACGGTCTTCACGTCGGAAATACCCTCTACAACTCCTTCTTTCTCGACCATTTTACCATCAAACCAATGCGGAACAAACGAAGAATAGATCCAAACTGAAAAGAAAGATTTTTACCTCTAACTGAAACACTAACAAGAGCCTTCGAAAGATGTCAGCCCCACACGACGGTAGACAAGATCCACAATAGTAAAAATCTCACATTTATCACCGACTGAAGACCTAGACGAGCTTCCAAAGCGATCTACTCCTCCACCTAACCCAAACGTAGCCAAAGCTCTGATACCACTTGTTGTGCGCGGATGCCACCAATCGTTGTGCTTCGAGGAACCAAACACAAACGCCGAGAGAGAAAACCAAAAAATGCAAAATAACGGCACAAACACAAACAACCACTTTTTATGTGGTTCGGAAAGTTGCCTACGTCCACGGGGCAAGAAGGGGATATGGTTTACACTAATAGAGAAGAAGAGTACAAACTAAGATTACAAATCACTCAAACTCACCAATTAATCTCACCAATAAAGCTCTTAATCTCTCAAACAAAACCCTAATCAATAGCTCAAGAAAATACATATTTTCTGTGCTCCAAATACCCCTATTCTGCTCACCAAGAAACCCTAAAACGTGATTGCTATTAATATCAAACAGCAACACCAAATAGAATAGGAAACCGTAATCAGGCCCAAACCCGACTGGCGGTCGACCACCGAAATCGTCGCGGTCGACCGTCGAAATAGTCGCGTTCGACTGGACAGAACGACAGAAACCAAAAAAATACATTACAGGGTCCGCGGTCGATCACACTTGACGCGACGGTCGACCGGCCAGAAAATCGAAAAACACCCTATAGTCGTGCACGTTTGCGGTCGACCGTGCCAAAACTCGCGGTCGACTGTCAAACACCCAAATGCTTGTCTGCATCAAATTTCTTGATCTTCTCTAATGTTTTCGACGTTTCTATAATATTTACCCTACAAGAGAGAGAAGTGTTATGCTCTCTTGATTAGTTATCGATTTTGAAAAGTTGAAGAGAATCAGCTCACACTTTTCTCTCTTGAGGTATGATTTTGATTCGATTCTTCATTATTAAAAAAATAGTGGAGAGATCATACATTAATTATAGCCATTAGTTTGTACCCATTTTCTAATTTACACTCAAGCAAATCACAACTGCTATTAAACAAATTAACAGTTGTGACATAGTATTGCTCTCTTCGCTACTTTTTTACCGTGTGGAAGATCCAAATTACTTGTAATAATTTAAGAGTAATAGTACAGTTACCACTACTATTGCGTTATTAATGGCGGAGGCTGGCGGGGGGGAGAGGGGGGAGAGAGAGAGGTATGTGAGGTGGGGTTTGTTGGAACATGGGACTCGCCACGTAGGGTTCAGCCGGAGCGAGCCCGCCGGTGTCCGGCCCGGGCCCGGGCGGGGCCGGAGGGTCAGCACGTTGGGAGCCACGTCCGGGCCCGGCCGGGCCCGGAACGAGTGCCAGAATAAAGGCATGTTGGATTCAATGTTCGCGGCCGGGCCGCCGGCCGGCCGGCCCAGCAACGTCACAACCGGGTGATCGTTGACCCGCCCCACGGCCAGCCGGGCCGCGGCCGGGCCAGCCGGCCCGGGCCCGAACGGTCACAAAAGTGACCGTTTGGTCAGGCGGGCCAGGGTTTAGCGGTCGAAACGGTCACAAAAGTGAACGTTTGCTTGGGCCGGGCCGGCTAACCCGGCCGCGGCCCGGGCAAACGGTGCACATTCATTGACCGTTATGGCCGGGCCGAGCCGGGATGGCCCGGCCCGGCCCGGGCCAAATCCTTGGCCTACACGGCCCAGATTGGTCTTGTGACCGTTTTGGCCCTTAAAAACGGTCAAAAAACGGCTATTTTTCGAGGGTTTTTTGGTCATTTACCTAGGGGGCTGGTTCTATAAATAGAGGGGGGGTTTCAATTCATTTTCTCACAACAAAACTCATCTATTTCTCTCTCTACTACTCTCTTATACAATCTTATACTATCTCATACTAATATACTATCCTATAATCTTTTGTATTTTCTAATACTTCCAACAAATGGCTTCTGGGTCTGATTATGAAGAGCAACATGCAACTCCTACCGATCCAGAGATGAGTCCTCCTACAACAACTCCTCCTCATCCTACCGGTGTTAATCCTGAATCTGGTGGCGACGAATCTACGGCACCAAGAGCTCCAAAAAGGCCGAGGTCTGATGTATGGAATTTTTTTGAGAAGATAGACGTCACCAAGGATGAACACGGTAGGATCATCTCTCAGAATGCGAAATGTGCGTTGTGCGGCCAGATATTCAAAGCTCATCATAAAGAGCGGCACCAACCATCTCAAACGGCATATTGAAAAACACAACAAAGGTTTCGACTGTAGCCTCGGAATCCGCTTTCAGCACAGCAGGACGTTTGATCGACGACCACAGGACATGCTTAGATCCGTATACTGTACAAGCGGTGATGTGCTTACAGGATTGGTGGAGATACGAGAAGCGAACACAAGGCATCGAACGGATTGCTATGATTGAAGATAAATTTGAAGAGTTGGGACTAGCAGATAGATATAATGATTAGATAATATTCATAAAATTGTAATTTTGTTTTCTTAGCTTTAAATTTGAATTAAATTATTTCGAAAAAAGTTGCAAATGATAGTGATATGGGTGAGTAGGTGCCAACCTAGTTGGGATGTACTCATCTATTGTGATGCGACGAATTTCGAAATAAATTTATACTTGTAAAGGATTTGTAAAGGATTTACCGATTATTAATAAAGAAGTTATTTTTATCATTTTTTGTACTTGTAATTTATGTCATTTCATTTCAAGCTATTAATTAAATTTATGACATTTTTTATAATAATTTATGGTTTATGGTTTTGTTAAAATTAAAAAAAAAACAAAAAAAATTCTAAAAAAAAATCAAACCGGGCCGGCCCGGTGTCCGGCCCGCTCAGGCCCGGGCCCGGGCCCGGGCCCGGCCCGGGCCCGGGTCCGGGCTTGGGTTTTGCCCGGCCCGGTTTTCCGGGCCGGGCCGGGCCGGCCCGGATGGACAGCCCTACTCCCACGCTCCCCGAGAGGAATTTAGTTTGAACTGAAGTTTAAACTGTAGGGTTTGGATATGGTTTTCTTGAAAATTGGGTGAATATAAAGATTTTTTGGGGTAAATTTAAAATATGATTGATTTAACAGATGTATAGATTAAACCAATAATGAATTGTTTTCAATTTCCACCCACGGACTGAAGATCAGCTGGACAATTAATCTCCCCTTTGGAGACAAGTGCGTGGTTCAACTATAAAGTATAGAACCCCCCAGCGTTCCATCCATCCATCCATCCATTTCTCTCTCTCGCCCTCTCTCTCTCTCTCTCTCTCTCCCCCCACAAAAAAAAAGAAAAAAAAATCCAGCACCAACGAACCGACCGCCCGCCTTCATCCATCCTAGACCTCCTCGCCGCTGCCCCAGGCGTCGAGGGAAAAACTGTCATCCCCATTGAAACCAACTCTCAAGACTCTATCAACCACCTGATCAAGTCCATCATCTCCTCAAACCCCGGACAAGCCGATCCCTTCTACGTCCTAGACCTCGGAACAGCCACAAACCTCTACCACAACTGGACCCAACACCTCCCTTTCATCCAGCCATGTCTTCGCCGTCAAGTCAAGCCCCGCCCAGCTCTCCTCGCACCCTGCAGGCCCTCGGCGCTTTTCGATTGCGCAAGCCGTGCCGAGATTGAGTCGGTGCTCTCACTTGGCGTCTCCCCGGATCGCATTGTCTACGCCAACCCCTGCAAGGCGGGGCTGCATATCGAATACGCCCGAACCGTCAATGTGAACCTCGCCACATTCGATTCGGTGCACGAGCTCCACAAGATGAGTCAGCACCATCCCCAATGCTCGCTCCTGCTCCGCATCAAGCCTCCTGTCAGCACCGGGGTCCGCCGCTCCCTGGGCGCCAAGTACGGTGCGTTACCCGACGAGGTGGGCCCTCTGCTAGAAGCCGCCCAGTCAATGGACCTGTCGGTTATCGGCGTCTCGTTCCACATTGGCATCTCGGCCACCGTCTTCGAAACCTACGACGCAGCGATCGAAGCGGCCAGGGAAGCGTTCGACCTAGCGGAGGAAATGGGCTTGCCGAGGATGAGCGTGCTGAATATTGGCGGAGGGTTCACCGCTGGTCCACTGCTGGAGAAGGCAGCAAAAGTGATAAAATGCTCAATCGATTCTCGTTTCGGAGACTGGGCTGGGCTGAGAGTGATCGCAGAGCCAGGGAGGTGCTTCACGGAGACGGCGGCCACGCTGGCCACGTGCGTGATAGGGAAGAGGGTGAGAGGGGCGAAGAGGGAGTACTGGTTGAATGACGGGATATACGGGTCGATGTGCTGCATCAAGATGGACGCCGTGAGCGTGTCGATCGTACCACTGGAGCAGAGGCCGGAGGGGACGGAGACGTACGCTTCCACGGTGTTTGGACCGACTTGCGACTCAATGGATGTCATTGCGAGCGAGGTGGAGCTGCCGGAGTTGGAGGTGGGGGAATGGATGGTTTCGCCGGCGATGGGAGCTTATACAAAGGCTATGGGGTCAAGCTTCAATGGATTCTCAACTCCGGACTTGCGAGTTTATTTGGCCAACTCAGTGACCACAGAGTGATAGCAGTACGAATTGCCATCTTTGCGCGTGACTTGGATTTGTATTTCTGCTTTCGTTTCATAAAAGGATTTGTTTGTGGTTTGTTGGTCGTGTTATTTGGAGCGCTTAGTCAGAAGCATCGCTGTTGATGGATCCCTTCTTATGGTTGTTGTTCGTATTGTTCTCGCATGGGATGGCATAAATCGATCCATAGCAATTCGTACGTTTATATTGAATAAAGAGATATTCGTTATTCAATCCTTCTTTATCGAAAATTAAAGTTTTGGTTTGAATCTATTTTTATTTGGGTCTGGATCTTCTCCATTAGCAAAAGGCGATTGGGAGACCGTTACTTTTATTTTGCCTATTAATTTGTCTTGTGTATGTTGAATTCAGCTCCTCTTTAATTAGGCCAAGTTCTTTTACATGGTGTTGTTGATATACTGCAATTACAATGAACGCAATAAATATTGTATGTAGTTTTTCTTGCAACATTTATAGCAAAAAATTAAATTATCTCAAAGTGATCATTTGAATCCTCCCTCTAGGCCATTTTTCCCACTCGTAAAACTGAAGACCACCCTTGTCGCAGAATAGTCTGCTCCCTCGTAATTCTTCTGTTTTTAATTGTGGTAGGGAGTGCTTCCTTGCTAGAAGCACGACCGGTTGGTAGATAGTTTGCTGCTTGGTTTTTACCGGGTAGTAGGTAGGACTACCGGAGAATCGTCTTTCTTTGCTATCGGAGAATCGTCTTTCTTTGCTGTCGGATGTTTTTTCCCCGGAGAAAATGGATGTATGTATTTGTCGTAGGAAATTTATTTTCAAATTTAAATACAATACTTCATTATTGTGCATTATAGATTATATAAAATGTAACTTCATTGCAAATCAAGTGTTCATTTGCATATGGTTACAAAGCGATTCGGTTTTTCCAGTTGGAATCCAGTAACTTGGTGACGTGATACTACCTTTGATTCATGCAATGTAAGGATTTGCTACAACCAAATTTAGTGCAATAAATCATTCAACTTTTCTTTGAAAAAACAAGAAGAATTTTGCAAAATAGACCTACTTTGCTAAATATTTAACAAAACAGACCGTTTTGCTAAATATTTAGCAAAATAGACCTCTAGTCTCGTATGTTTCGGATGGTCTGTTTAGCAAAATCGATATCTTTTTGGCATGTTGGACAAAAATTGGTCTATTTTGCTAAATATTTAACAAAATGGTCTGTTTTGCTAAATATTTAGCAAAATATGTCTAGTTTACAAATTTTTCCAAAAAACAATTCTTCCCTAAGTCAGTTTAGCAAAGCATTAAGGGAAAAAAATTAAGAGGAATGACAAAATGGTCTAGTTATCCCTTCATGAGAAGTTAAAAATAATTTAATTCTATTTGAAATTAATGGCTAGGTTGAATGGTTAAGTTTTTTTTGTGTTTGATAAATAAAAAAGGGTTAAGGAGTGTTGTTGCAATAAATATCCTAAAATATATTCTTTTTGTAAAGTTTTGTTTTTTTAGGAGGGAGTAACTCTTAATCATCCTCCTTAGGTAAACTTGTTTGCCTTTCTAAATGAGGGGTTAACTAACTTTAACTCTTGTAAAAGGTTTGTTAACCATTTGACCAAATTAACCCATTTAGATGGCTAAGAAGGGAATAGACTCCCTTAACCCTTCTCTTAACCTTTGCTAAATAGGACTATAGTATAAACAAATATTGGAAGTAGAAATTTGACTGCATGTTGTTTACCAACCAAATATCCCTTACGCTGTGTTTTAAAACTGAAAATGATAAGAAAAAGAAATTAAACTCTCATTCATCTTTATTCACAATCTCCATCCATTTATCATGTTGAGAAAAATACAAACAATTAGATGATCATGTTGCGACACCATTCAACTTTTCATATTTGGTCCGTTTTCCATTTATATCTATATCTGGTTACTAAACACTTTAGGGCTAGGGGTTGATGAAGTTATAAGAATACATGAGTTTGACCGAGTTAAGGTTGTAACTTGCTTCTTTCCTCTTTTACTTATTTTTGGGCTTACCATTAGTAGCAAGCTAAAAGGTTTTACTGTGATGTAGGCTGTCTAAAAATCACTGCAGATACCTGATCCCCATCAAACACCGATGATGGAAGTTACAATTCGACGGCTTCCAGAAGACTACAATTTGAAGACTTTCATGTAGATCGATGAAGGTTACAATCTGACGATCTTCACAACAACTGATGAAAGCTCTAATCAACAGCCTTCATAATCAACATCGGGAGTTATAATCTGACGACTCTCACATATCAAAGAGTTAAAGCAAAGATTACAAAACGATGATCTTTACAACGCTCTGACAGAAAGAGACTACAAATCGACGGTCTCTTCAAACCAAGACGTGGAAGTCCTCCCCGCGTACCCTCATAAAAAACTCATGATCTGTATCAAGAGGAGTGTGAGTTACAACTTGATGATGAGGAGACTGATTTTGATACGACAGATTGGGTTGTTGAAATTGTGAATGAGAATTGAACGGAACTGTGTTTTCCCTAGGAAAATGTTGGGTCAAAGAGGGAGTGAAGTTTTGAGTTCCAGAGTGGTTTTCCTGATTCCATGCAATGTTTGTGTAACTTGCCCAACCTGGGTTGTAGGTTGAAAAAAATGGATCATTTACCGAATACTGATATGGACTCTCTACAAACTCCCGAACTTCATTGGAAATTTCAATCATATTGGGATAACATAAATTTTGAAAAACTTGTGGATTAGCCATTTGTTCAAAATGAATTTGTTGATGTGTATTGTCCTTAATCCACATTTTGCATGCACCAAAAACAATTTCTTTTTATACTTTTTTTAGAGAAAAATAAAAGTTAGTTTTTTTTTAAAGAAGAAAATGGAAAATCCTAACTAAAACAAATCAAAATCAATCACTTTTCAATCACTCTAACTCTAGGGTTAAGCCTAACTCAACTAGACTAGCTCCTAACCAAAAATTCCTAAAGTGAAAAGATAAAAGTTTTACCCGGGTAGTTAGCCAGGTAAGGATAGTACTAGAGGGTGATCAGAGATCAATTAAGTACCTCGTTCCTTGCGGAGCGCTTTACGCAACCCCTAAACCTTGCCTTAGACACCAACTAATCTGAGAAAACTTAAACCAGTTCACTTAAGAATTTCTTGTTCCTTATTGAGCTCGAATCCTTAGGGGCCAACGTCTAATGAGATTTATTAGGCTTGGGTGGTGTAGTGAGGAATTAGTGATTTTTGGGCTAAGGAAAGGGTGATGAAATCCCTCACCTTATCTTGATTATGGGGTTTTGCCCTTAAAAATATTTTTAAGTGTGTGTCAAATCAAGATGCTCAAATCACTTGGTGAATTCCTACTAACTATATGAAATGCAACCCTATGAATTAAAAGCAACTAAAAAGGATGGAAAAGAAAAATCTTTTTTTTAATTAGGGTTAACAATCAAACAAATGAGAAGGGGGGATTTGTTTGAATTTATTATCTTGTTAGTAAATGTCAAAGTGAAGGGTGAATTTTATTATGGTCAACGGAAATAAAATCTTTTTTTTAAGATCCTATTTGTCACTAATTGTGAGAAACTAACTAAAGGTGTGGAATTGAAAATATAAGGAAGAAGACTTACCACAAGCGAATATCCAATTCCTCAATCTCCAATTCTTGATCTTTAATCTCCAAGTAGTTCTTTCACAATAAACACACAAGTTAAAGAACCAAAATAATTAAAACCTACTTAAGCACCTTCCCCGGCAACGGCGCCAAAAACTTGATGCGGCATAAACATAGATAGTGAAAAATGGTGTGTAAATAGGTGCAAGTGTAAGTGAGAGTGGATTTGAAAGAGAATGAGTATGATCAATAAGGTGAGAAGGAAAAAAAAATGAATAAAATCAAGAAACAAATAAAAAAATCAAGAGTGAAGAACAAAATTCTAGAATAAAAGAAAATGTAAGAAATTAAAGATAGTGGATTCAATTATAGATATGGATAATCTACAATTGGACCCACTTCTTAGAAAATGGTGATTCCCTAGAGGGTTCTAGCCTAAAGGTGAATCAAATAAAAATAAATAAAAAGAAAAACTAAACCCAAGAGGGTTCTAGCCTCAAGGTGAATAGTGCAAGAAATTAAAATCTAACTACAAAATAAATTGCAAAATCTAAACTACAAAATAAAATTGTAAGAATTAAATGCAAGAAAATAAATCTATTCTATAAGCATGAAATAAATCTAAGGCAAGAGGGTTCTAGCCTCTTGGCTATTTAACAAGAAAAATAAAATCTAATTACAAGCATGAAAATAAATCTAACTAATAAGCAATAAAAGAGAAATAAAAGAGAAAAAGGAAAGAAATGCAAACCTTCAAATAATTCTCCATCTTCATCTTCATCTTCATCATCCAACAAAGAGAAGAAGAGAAAAATTTAAAGTGGTGAAAAAATTATTATTATTAATTGCAACAAAAAGTTACAATTTTGGAAGGCCTTCTCAATTAAGAGTAGCCCTCCTCTCCAAAAGGAGTTACAAAAATTTTCACACCTCTAACCCCTCACTCTCTATCCCTATTTATAGTAAACATCAGTGAATGAGAGCCATTGGATCAAACTTGAGCCCCAAGAATGCAATTTCGGCCGTTGATGAAATCTGGAGGACTTCGCATCGATACCGGCATCGATGCCTGCATCGATGCTGGCATCGATGCCCTAATAAAAATTCTGACTTAACGGTTGGCTTCGTCTCGTCGAGATAGGCGATCTTTATATATTATATGTTAAATTCCGCCTTCCGGATTGGGAGATATCGTCGTTTCTTTGTGGCCAACCATTTTGAATATGATTTCTTTTCATATTGGATTTTTGATTTTCTCCGGCTTCTACAGGCTACTCGGCTTGATTCTGGGCTTTTGGATAATTTGGAAATTGATTTTCCAATGGGCTTCTTTGCTTCATTTCTTCATTTAATCAATTGGTTTTTGTTGAGAAATGAGAGTTTGAGATTTATTCTTCATTAACCTGCAATTAAAGATAAAAACAATTATTAGTAGTATATTTATTCATATAAAATAGATAATGAAGGTATAAAACTGTAATAAAATATGATTATCAAAGACGCAACAACAATTCGACCGCAGACGCAGGTCAAACCTGGCTACAAACGCAGCTCACATTCAGCTCCAAACGCTACAAACGCAGCTCAGATCCAGTTACCAACGCAGCTCA